AATTTGTGTGTGCAATAATTTCGCCAAAATCATTCTGACCTAACGAAATAAATATATTTCACTGTGTTTATTTAGTATTAAATTACTGTAAACAAATATCAAAATATATTTAGTTGGGTTAGGCTAAAATAAACTGTTCTTGTTATAATAAGGTTAGGTAAGTTTTCTAAGATTCTTTTGATGCAAAATTAAAATTTTTACATTAACATTAATGAAAAAAATATCTTAAAACGTATAAGAGAAAATTTTAGAAAGGACTTAATTTTAAATGAGTTCTTGCTAATTGGTCATTTTTACATATTCGGCAACGAACATATATAAATATATATAAAATAATATATATATAAATATATATATATATATATATATATATATATATATATATATAAATATATATAAGAGAGAAAGAGAGAGAGAGAGAGAGAGAGAGAGAAAGTGTGATAGATTATTTGTGTATTTGAACCTACAGCTGAGATCATCAACACATGAACAGTCAGCAGCATACAGACAGGTAAGATTTTTGTTAGGATTTTTAATCCCGGAGGGTTAGCCACTCGGGATAACCCAATAAAGCCAGTGCATCATCGATCACTCTCTGTCTTATTTTCATTGTGGTCCTTCAATTTTGTTCCCCAGGATGCCACCCACTCCAGTCGGCTAACATCCAGGTACCTACTTACTGTTTGATGAACAGGGACAACAGGTGTAAGGAAACACCTCCAATGTTTCTACCCGGTCGGGGATCGAACCACAGACATTGAGTGTGTGAGGCGAGAGCGTTGCCTACCAGGCCACGGGAGAATCAATAAGTGTGGTGTGTGTGGTGTCCGTGTGTGTATTGACCTAAGTGACGACAGTCCATAATAATACGATGGTACAACATACCCACAGTATTTAACTGACTTTTTATGGCATTTTAGTAAGGAAGACATTTCGCCAACCACGGGATGGATATTATGGTGGCCAAAACTTAACATATTGTATATTATTTCCTACAGAAGTGTTGAGTAAACTGACAGATGAAGATGTTCTTTTTCACCAGGTGGTGTGTAGTAACATTGTGACGGTGGTGTTACGAGACCAGATGGTGTGACGTTGGTATTACGAGACCAGGTGATGTGACGTTGGTGTTACGATGCCAGGTGGTGTGACGTTGGTGTTACAAGACCTGGTGATAAATGATAATGTTTTGTTTCACCAGGTGGAGTGTAGTAATGGCGTGACGGTGGTGTTACGAGACCTGGAGCTGCTAGCCACTGGTACTTACAGATGTGAAGTAATCACTGAAGCACCTGTCTTCCATACTAAGTTTGGTGAGGGCAACATGACTGTGATAGGTAAGTGTGACTTGAAACAATTCTCAGTCCCTATCCACTTATTCTAATACAGAAGAAAACACATTTACCATCACTTGCTTCCTAGTTGTCTCTCCTGACTTACACTGAACTGCCACATCCTCACTCCTCCTTCAGAGTGCATGCACTGCACATTCCACCTTCCATGACTAGCCGGCTTCTCCGAAATTTCACACTCCAACAACACGTCAAATCCCAGACACTGTTTGCCTCCACTTCGATGCACCTGACTTACACACGTCTCCTGGAAGACCAAGACCCTATCCTTCAAAAACCTCCGTCAAAACTCTCCTTCCAGTCCTTGGAATCCTTCCCTACATCTTCCTGCGCATAATCCCGTCTTGTTCCACACGACCAAATCATCTTTGCATTATACCTTCAACACCATCACCAAAAAGTTTTATTACCTAGCAAAGAGTAATAAAAATGGCAAATTAAAAATAAAAATAGGAATATAAAAAAAAATAAAAGTGAAAAACAGAACTATATATATTTTATTTTAATATATGTATATAATTTATATATATTATAATATTTTATATATATATATATATATATTATTATATGTATGTTGTGATGTGGTTTGTTTTGTGTGTGTGTTGTGTGTGTGTGTTGTGTGTGTGTGTGTGTGTGTGGTGTGTGTGTGTGTGTGTGTGTGTGTGTGTGTGTGTGTGTGTGTGTGTGTGTGTGTGTGTGTGTTGTGTGTGAGTGAGACTATAAACTGAAGTAGAAACATATAAATGGACAAGAGAAAACAGCAATAAAAGAAAAGAGCAGAAATAAAGAGGCGGGGAGAGAGAAATTAAATACAGAGCTGAGAATTCTGGGGGAAATTTTTGAGAACTTAGGAGATAAATTTGTGAAAAGTTACATGAGTGTTGCTGAGGGAAGTGTTGCTGGGAGTGAGCTGAGGGAAGTGTTGCTGGGAGTGAGCTGAGGGAAGTGTTGCTGGGAGTGAGCTGAGGGAAGTGTTGCTGGGAGTGAGCTGAGGGAAGTGTTGCTGGGAGTGAGCTGAGGAAGTGTTGCTGGGAGTGAGCTGAGGGAAGTGTTGCTGGGAGTGAGCTGAGGAAGTGTTGCTGGGAGTGAGCTGAGGGAAATGTGTTGCTGGGAGTGAGCTGAGAGATGAGACGAGAATGTAGAGTGAGTTCTTTAACTCACGACATAGGATAAATGGATGTGAGTTAATAACACATTCTTAACACAGGATAATTACACAGGACAGTTAATAACACGTTCATAACACAGGATAAGAACGGAAGTCAAACAATTTACCGTGATAACTAAGTATCCCAGGTGACTGAGCCAGTGTGATGGATCACCCTGGATAACACACTCTCTCCCCTCTCTCTCCTCTTCTCATCTCTCTCATTACTCTCTCTACTCGTCATCTCCATCACTCTTCTACTCATCTTCCTACTTACTACCTCCTCTCCTCTCTTCCTCCTAAACTCTCTACCTCTCTCCTACTTCTACTCTCTCTCTCTTTCTCTCTCTTATATCTCTCTCCGTCATCTCAACTCTCTCTTCTCTCTCTCTCTTTACACAGGGTTTGACAAGGTTAGGTTAAGGAATCCTAGCTTATTGACAATATTTACAGGTTAGGATTCCTAACTTTATTGGCAAGCTAAAGCTGTTACCTACATCAGCTCATTTGAAAGCATTTTTATTGTTATGATAACATACAAGTAGAAACAGATGAAGTGGAGCCATCTGTGGACCAGCATTTCAATTGATAAAGACTTTTATCTCTTGGCATCATTATGCTGTACAATGTTTCCAACACGAGTCATATCCTAGGTATATATATCTCAGATGGAAGTGATGTCTGAGAAAGGGTACAGCCAAGATGATAGGGTGACTGCCTGTCGTGGTCCTGGATAAAAGCTTTTTCACCGTCCTCTGTCCTTTTTTCTCCTCTCTCTCTCTCTCTCTCTCTCTCTCTCTCTCTCTCTCTCTCTCTCTCTCTTCCTCTCTCTTTTTCCTTCTTCTCTACTCTCTCTTCTCACTCTTTTTTAGTTAATCTTTTCTTGGCACTCTTTGTCATTTTTTTTTGTTTTTATACAAGGGTTTGAAAAGGATGAAGGGAGCCTCTGTTGGCTTGCATTTTTATATGATCAATGATTTATCTTTTGACATACTAAGCTTGCAATCACTTTGAAGCATTTTTGGTTATGAGACATACAAGTAGGGAATCAGGATGAAGTTGTCTCTCTTCCCTTTTCTTTTTTTTTTTTTTTTTTTTACACAGGGTTTGACAAGGTTAAGGATCCCTAGATTTATTGACAGCTATTTACAGGTTAAGGATTCCTAACTTTATTGGCAAGCTAAGAGCTGTTACCTACATCAGCTCATTTGAAAGCATTTTTATTGTTATGAGACATACAAGTAGGAAACAGGATGAAGTTGGAGCCATCTGTGGGCCAGCATTTTCATTTGATCAACTGACTTTATCTCGTTGACATCATTATGCTGTACGAATGTGTTCCATACTCGAGTCATTCTGGGTATGTATGATCTCAGATGGAGTGATGTTCTGGAGAAGGGTACAGCCAGAGTGAAGTTGCTGCTTTCTGCCCGTCTTGTGGCATAAAAGCTTGTTTCACGCTGTCCTCGAAGTGGATCCAAGTGTGGTATTTTGACAATATTGGCCTTGTACATAACAGTAAGGCCACCCACATCCCTCCTATGTTGAAGGCTCTGCTGAAATGACAGATCTATCCAGGATGGGTCCAGGCGAGAGATGAGACGTCTTGCCTCTCTCTCTCTCTCTCTCTCTCTCTCTCTCTCTCTCTCTCTCTCTCTCTCTCTCTCTCTCTCTCTCTCTCTCTCTCTCTCTCTCTCTCTCTCTCTCTCTCTCTCTCTCTCTCTCTCTCTCTTTCTGTATACATTTATAAGAGAGAAGAGCTCGAACCGAGGACCTCTGTGGGAGACGCTCTGCTCTACCATCCTGCTACAACCTTCTTTAGCACGATTATTCCACCTTTGTCACTCCTGCAACATGCATTACCAGGATTCCCAATTTATAATAATAATAATAATAATGATGTCCTAGCTGACATCAGTGACGTACTACTATATACAAAGCCCCTTGTTATGCAGAACATTTCGGGCAAATTAGGTCAATTTTGTCCCAGGATGCGACCCACACCAGTCAACTACCATCAAGGTATTTATTTTACTGCTAGGTGAACCGGGACACCAGGTGTCTTAGGAACCAAGTTCTAATGTTTTCACCTGTACCGGAGATCGAACCACGGACCTATGACTAGCATAACTATCTCATATATGGATCCCAGTATCTCTTAAAAAGTCTAAAAAGTCCACATTTGCCTCTTAAAATCTTAAATGGTCCACACCTGTCTAAGTCTAAAACATCCAAGTCTCTTTTGTAAAAAGTCTTAAAAGGTCTACATCTAGCTTTTAAAGAGTATTAAAAGGTCCATACTTGTCTTTTAGAGTCTAAAAGGTCCACTTCAATCTCTTAAAGAGTCTTAAAAGGTCCACTTCAGTCTCTTAAAGAGTCTTAAAAGGTCCACTTCAGTCTCTTAAAGAGTCTTAAAAGGTCCACTTAAGTCTCTTAAAGAGTCTTAAAAGGTCCACTTCATTCTCTTAAAGAGTCTTAAAAGGTCCACTTCAGTCTCTTAAAGAGTCTTAAAAGGTCCACTTCAGTCTCTTAAAGAGTCTTAAAAGGTCCACTTCATTTCTCTTAAAGAGTCTTAAAAGGTCCACTTCAGTCTCTTAAAGAGTCTTAAAAGGTCCACTTCAGTCTCTTAAAGAGTCTTAAAAGGTCCACAACAGTCTCATAAAGAATCTAAAAGGTCTACACCTGTCTCTTAAAGTCTAAAAGGTCCATACCTGTTTCTTCAAGTCTAAAAGGTTCACATCTGTCTTAAAGTATCTCAAAGCTCCACATCTGTCCCTCTCTCCTCCAAATTCTTCTTCCTTGCACACCTGCATCTTGCTAAAGCGGTGCCTCTGCTTCCTACAGACCTGCCAGAGAGTGCTCCAGTGTTGGAGGGAGCCAAGAGCAGCTACCAGCTGGGTGAACGAGTCTCTGTCAACTGCACATCCCTCTACTCCAAGCCTGCAGCCTCACTTGAGTGGTTCATTAATGATCAAATTGTGGTGAGTGCTGGTGTCTTGTCTAGTTGGAAAAAATAAACACAAATGCAGTATGATGCGATCCTTTATTGACAACATTTCGCCCACAACAGTGGGTTTTATCAAGTCACAAACAGATCTGTTTGTGGCTTGATAAAGATCACTTTGTGCGTGAAACGTAGTCAATAAAGTATTGCATTATACTGCATTTGTGTTTTATTTTTCCATCGTGTCGGTATGTTATACTACTGATCTCCTTCTGTCTAGCTGCATTGTTGTGTAAATGGTTTAGAAAACCCACAAGTTGATTTAACAAGACACTTGTGCAACACTTGCGTGTCTGTTGTCGAAACGTTTCTCCAGCCAGTGGCTTTGTCAATCAACTACAGAGAGAAAAACAGTGAAAGATATAAAGAGGGCGCTTTATCAAGGCTGGTGCACAGAACACATTATCTCCAGGCTGAGGGACTGATTACCTCAACCTCCCCTCTTCACATCTTCCACCGTCTTCCTCTGTATTGGACTGATAAAGCCACTGGTTGGCGAAACGTTTCCACAGTAAAGGTACCCAAATATTGCCCTGAGCGAGAGAGTGGTTATCCAGGTGGAGTCTCGTACCTTCAGTGTGTGAGATAGTATGAGTCTTCTCTCTTCTCTTCTCATGGACTATATAGCTTTCTTATTTTACATTTCTTGTTATCAAATAAGTCCGAGTGAGTGACGCTTCTCCTGGTTACCCAGAATGACTGATGATTCCTTGCTGTGTAATACTCAGTCACTATACAAAGTAACACTCTCACTATTAAAAGTAATAGACACACTATTTGTCATACACACATACACACTATCTATCATAAGTAACACTCAAGCTTTAAGAACTCCAAGAACGTAAAGGCATAACGTTACAAATAAGTAACATCTGCAGCACCTGGGTATCTTTATTGCCAAGACGTTTCGCCAACCAGTGCCTTTATCAAATTCAGTACAGAAATTACGTTCTGAAGATAGGTGTCGCGCATGCGCCTCAGTCATCAACGTATCGATCATGACTACCATTGATGTAACTGTACCATGATCAGTCCCGGCAGCCAGGGAGAACAAACAGCGTCGTTACACTAAGATGGCAGACGGATAAGACAACAGCAGGGCCCCAAGATCTCGGTCTTACGGCAGTTTTCTGTTGAAAGTTCCCCAGTTCTTGGATTCAGGACACAGCCCGGCATGTTAGAGACGAGTTTTAGCTTTTTAAACAGCAAGGTCATTTTCTGTTGTCCTCTGGGTTTTCACATTCGGTTCTTCAGCATCTTCATGTTCTATACATCATGATCTTCATCTTCAATATATCATGATAATCATGTTCAGCACCTCATGATTCATGTGTTCGGTATCATGGTCCCCCAATTTTGGTACGCTATGGGGTTGATGTTCGATTCCTGGCGATCTTTAAAACATTGGACCTGATTGATGTCTTAATGACTATACCATTTTGACCCATGTCAACTGACTATATCATCTTGACCCATGTCAACTGACTATACTGTCTTGACCCATGTCAGTTGACGATGCCGTCTTGAACTATGTCAACTACCTACTGTCTTGACCCATGTCAACTGCCTATGTGCAGATTATATGCGGCTGAGGTACTTCCCCAGCAGTGTAGACTGGAGTACTCTGACTAGGGATTGTGGTGAGGGTGGTGTAATAGACATTGTGATGTTTACCAATACGACATTGTCTAAAGCATTGTACAGGCTGGCTAAGCTGTCTACCGTCTTGAAGCCTGCCATCTTGAAGCCTGCCGTCTTCAAGCCTGCCATCTTGAAGTCTGCCGTCTTGAAGACCACCGTCTTGAAGCCTGCGGTCTTGAAGCGTGCCATCTTGAAGTCTGCCATCTTGAAGCCTGCCGTCTTCAAGCCTGCCCACTGCCTGCCGTCTTGAAATCTGCCGTCTTGAAGTCTGCCGTCTGAGGCCTGCCATCTTGAAGCCTGCAGTCTTGAAGCCTGCCGTCTTGAAGCCTGCAGTCTTGAAGCCTGCAGTCTTGAAG